AAAAGAATATAATAATTGAAAGACCTCACTGTGTAATGAACTTAGAATCAGGATGAAAAGTTCGAACAAATGATGTTTACTGTTTGGCCCCAGTTTACCTCATGAAGCAGTGAGCCAGATTATAAATGCTGGGGTGACCGTGCTTTTACTGATGCAGCCCCATAAATTGTGGAACAGTCTACCTACTAATGTTAAGGTCAGCTACTGATCTCAGTGCCTTTAAATCATTGCTTAAAACATATTTATTTGGTTCGACTTATGAAAAACAGTAGGCCTGATGAATTCCTTTTATTTCTTTTGGTTTTAAGTTGTTATACATCTGTTAACTGTTTAGCTGTGTTATTGTGCTTACTTTTCTTTTATTTTTTGGGCTGATCTTAATTACTCTATTCTAGACATCCATTGTGTTTCTATTCTGCTATGAAAGGTGCTCTGGTCTGTTGAATGTTTTTAAAGTGATATATACACAAATTTGACTTGATTTGATACTGCAAGGCAAAGCAATGGTAGCAATTATATTGTTGGTGTTTGTTCTACTGTGGGACTACAGTTAGGAATAGTTAGGAATACCAAACCCACAGTCAGGTGAAAGAATTGACAGACTACAGGATTACCGTGTATATCTAAAGGCATGATAAGTCTTTTTCTCTAACTGTTGAACAATGTTAATCTTTCTTTGCTGTTTCCACCGGTGAGACAAAGGAGACATTCCTCCATTAGCAGCTGATATCCTGACAATTATACCTGCTATGTGCGCTCTGTTACCTCTCACTACCTGCTGCTGGCCTGGTGCAAGGAAACAGACACATGGTGGACATGCGGAGACAGCAAGCTGAGACCAAGACTCCCCTCACAATGCCTGAGCAGGTGTGCCCTGAGGCAGCGGCTGATGCCCTTTCACATGCCTCCTTGAGAGAAGATAAGGAGCTAGGGGAAAGCTGTTATCTGCATCCCACCTACATCGCAGAATCAGAAGAGAAGGCAGGCCCCAGAGGAACGGCTAATAACAGAGTGTACATAGGTGAAATTGGTATATGAGTTCAAAGTTAAAAAATTGAATATAAACAGATTTTTCTTTCCGGTGGTTTACAGTAAATGAAGATGTAGATCAGATCACTATTGCCGGACATGTTACAAATGATTGATACTCTGATTAATAAGGATGACCTTACTGATTAATTTTCCATTTTTCGGTTGTTTGCACTATTTGTTCTTTTCCATTTTTGATTATTTTGCATCTACATATGGTTCTGCATTTTATTGGCCCCCAAGACTTCACCGCTCATACTCCTCCAACATTAGGTACCAAGTTAATCGTGGCTAAACTGCTACATTAACGCTAACGCTAAAAGTAGCTACATTAGTTAGCTGCATCGTAAGCTAACATTACGCTGACAATTATTACAGATAACGTCATTCTCTGTGCTATCTGACTACATGATAAGGTTTACGGTTCTTTACGTACAGCTGTAGTAATGTTAGGCTGATAATTACCAGTTAATGTTAAGAACTAATTACTTTGTTTACGCTAGCTCGAACGCCATCTCCGCTCGCTACGTTAGCCTTTAAGGCTGCTTTGCTAACGGCCTGCTTGCGGCCAGAAGTACAAACAGTGTTAACTAAATACGAGAATGTTTTGACATACCTTTTTATGAAAAGCCTTTTTTGACGTTCCAATCCGATAGATCCTTTCATTTTGTCCATAATTGGCGGATGTAACAAGTTTAGAAGCGACTGCTTAACGTAAACAACGATAGTCTGTACGCACAGCTGTGGGACTACAAAAAGTCTGTGCTGCGTTAGGAGCTCCGCGATTGGTCAGTTTGAGAAAATGGGAGGAGGCGATTATCCAAGGGCGTTGCCTGGCAACACAATAGACAGGCACAGATGACGTAATTTGTTTACCAAGCTGCTATTAAATGTTTAGCCCGCAATCATTGGCCAGGTAACAATATGGTATGACAATATAATTTCTCACAATACATTTTTCTTATTTTAAGTTATGCATTTAGTAGGAATAGACTTGATTAATGTGCTTGTGGATTGTGTGTTCAGTATTGCAACACTCTAAGTCTTACTTTCTCCCGTTTTTATTTTACTTCATTTTTTTGCCAGACTTGTGACTTTTCATTTAGGTATTAACTTAGTAATATACCAGCAGTAAGCAGTGACACTGCTACACCTGTCATGCATTCAGGTGTGACAATATATTTTCAGGGCATGGAGAAATGTTTCCATTGCATCACATTTGTTCATTCTTACTGGCAGTGTGCCATCACCCAGTCGGTGAAAGCGGGTCTCCTCAGCAGAGAGGCCTTTGTGGGGAGAATACCCAGTGTCTGTCAGCCCTGCCTGGTGTTCAAACCTTTGGAGGTTGTCGTGGGTCTGCTCTAAATGAAGATAGGCATATAACCAACAGCAGAGATAAAATTAGTGAATGTTTTGGAGCCTGCTGATACGCTGGAGATCATTTATCAATATTTGGCAACCAAGGCAGCAGTCAGGGTTACATGGTGAAACTTAGTTTATTAACTTAGTTTATCTGTCTTTTGGTTACTTCTGTGTCTAGATATTTATTTAAAACAACTTACTGGTTATAAGTGTGTTCATAAAAGAGGTGGCTTTGGCTTTCACCACAGGCACTGAGGACTTGTCTGGTCTTGCTGCCTCCAAAGTCAGCAACTTCTCATCACCCTCGCCTTCCTAGTTACACAAATTTATACTGTTAGAACAAACCCATAAACCAGTTACATAATAAATAGATGTGTAAATCAAATGTGTCCTGGCATGCATCTAACATCCAAGAACAGGTTTATGTATCTGCGTCATACACAACAATATCTAGGTCAGGTGGTAGTTGTACCTCTGCAAGGTTTCTAAACTTGTGCTGTGGGATGACAGGGTCTTTCCATAAGATGTTGATTGTCATGTCTGGAGGTGGTGAATTTATGGGGGCATCAATGTGCTCATCATAGCTGATAGTATGCCGTGTCATTCCAATCGGACACGATAAGGCACAGAAGAGTCCGGATGATGTGCCAGACTCAAGTGCTGACGAATGGGAGGAAAAAAGACATGTTAGATCATTTCTGATATATCTGCAAAACCAGTCCATAGTTCACAAGGCACAAAGTATAAACTATTTAAGTATGTCTGTTATTTCGCCAATTCTAAATTCCTGTGTTACCTGGGATGTCTCCCTGTCTTGAAGCCATTGACAGCAGATCAGAAAGGATGGCCACAGGAGACTCTGCAAGCTGGCAGCGTGGAGATCAGCTCTACTTGACTTTGGACTCCAAGCCTGGTCGATCACTTCACCACATGACATCACACAGTGTTACAGGCTCATCAGACAGAAAGGCTCGCTTCTACAAGTGCAAAGTGTGTCATGTAACAACATGTCAGTTCTGTCACCACAGCCTTGAGAAGAAGTAATAAATAAATGCATGTTTTTAAAAGCCTAACATGGTTATGTCAGAGAATAAACACACTACAGACTTGTTTTTGCTGTGAGCAGTGCATGATGTCCTTTTCTGACCTGCTCCAAATAGAGCCAGAGTCTTGTGATAGCAGTGTCATTAATAGTTGCAACTGCCATTAACTTTTAATGTCAGAGTCCTCCTCCATGTCAGAGCCAAAAAGCCAAACAGTGATTTAAAGTATTTTTAAATTGAAATGAAACTTGTAGAATTAATGCTGCCTGTCTGATAGACCAGTTCTGCTATTCATCTGTAAAATACAAAAATTACGGCGAACCTGTCTACTGTACCTTATCAGCCTTGTCTGAGTTGTAATTCTGAACCACACCTGCAAATCACTTCAACATTTAAATAAATGATGACAGGACCGTCTGAAATCCGCAAAATACAAATCTAAATTCTGCCATAATTCAGAGTTAGCAGAATCAGCTCGGTCTCCGATCAAGTCTACTTTCCAGACAGATGACATCAGCTGTTTCCGTCAGTGACTTGCAAAAAAAGAAAAAAAAAAAAAAAACCCAGCAGCCAACCGAAGTCTAAAATAAGCTGTAAGCTAATAACCTATATAATAAAAACAATTGTCATGTGGGATTACTTTGCTGGAGACTCGCTGTGAACAATGACTTATGCAGGCTATTTACGTGACACTTACCTCAACCTGCCAATATTTCCTCTCTTTTTGGGATTAGTCCGAAGATGCAGTGAATTCTTTGTCGCCCTGAATTAATAGACGGAACGAACAAGTGCTGTACGCAATGTTTGTCCATCGGTTGGTTTATCTATGACTTTTGGACATACAAAGGGTAAACAGACAGGGCTGACACGGCCACACAGCGCCAGTGAACGCACACGGCCGACATCGGCATCGCAGCCGGCGGAAGTGATGATCGGAAACTTGAAGCCCTGCAGCAGGTTGGGGAAACAGTGTGGCGCAGTATTGTCAAGCGTTACCTTTTATATACAGCTATGATAACAAATGCGAGGAAAACACTCAATTCATATGTTAAAGTCTATAATATTTCAAAATTGAGATGGTTAGGTAATAAGTAATTCAAAGGTTTGCTGTAAAATGTTGGTGGAAATTTAAATGCCGCACACAGGCTACTGCCCTAAACGACTTTCATTAGGAAGCATAGTTACCTCCCAAGCTGTGAATGTGTGGAGGTCACTCAATTGTGAGGAGAAAACGAATATTATATTTTCATGAAAGATAAGGTTAATGTAAAGTGGGGCCCAAGGGAATGACTACCATGGCTGGGGGTGTGTGAGATGGGAGTAAAGCATTACAGCCTATGAGGCTGAAGTGAGCTGAGCTGTCCTCTGTCAGAGCCAGAACATATGGTGGTGGCAGGTTATTGGCCCTGAATCCCACCATCTGTGTGCAGCTTCACTGTGCTCTGTTATCTGATTTATCTACTCTAAGTAGGAATAAGGCCCATTAATCAAGTCTAGAAGACACTTTATAGTGTAACTCCCTCTGACATTGTACTGGGGGCAACCTAAGCCTGACTGAGATCACAGGATACGGGCACTGAAACACATAGTATACTATACTGTATTTTAGGCATTGGCAGCCCTGAACCACAAGATAGCACTGTTGATACAGGATGTAGGATATCAGAAAACAAACTTGTAACAGAAAACAAGCACTCAGTTGAGTTTTCTTTTATTATTTAAAACAATTAAAATATTGAAATGCAAAAACGTTTGAGCAAATTAACAAATCACACATTTTATTTTTGCATTTTAAAAAATGTTCCCACTTTTTTGGAAAGCTCATCAGAGGATCAGAGGTCATAAGAGCTTCTTGCTGATCAACGGAGTTTATCTAAGTCTGGAGTCAGGCGCGAGCTGTGTTGGTGCTGGTAGTGAGGTTATGTGGGATGGCTGTAGTAGTGGTGTTCACTTTCTTTCTAGAAAGTCCAATACCAGAAGTGCATATGTTAGACATATTACAGCAGAGGGGAGAGAACTCTGTACTACTCATTACTGTTATTTCTATCAAATACTGTACGGTGGTCATGATATTCTGAAGGTGAATCTGTAAATACACTCACATGATTTTATTCAGGAGTCTTTTCACTTTGTCCAAACTGGGGTTCAAGCAATAGCGGAAGTTGTTGCTGGTGGTGACACTGTTGAAATGGACAATAGAGATGAGTTCAGTTAGAGGCATTTAGGTACAACACCTAGATAAACAAATCTATAAATGTCACTGTTGCTTTAGCAGGAGTTAACAACCCTAACTTCAAGAAATTTTAAACACCTGAACAGTTGTAGTCATTTTGTTGTGTCATCTAATTTTTTATCAATGGGATTTTATATGAATTACACTGTCTATATCAAATAGTCTATCTATAAATCTATAAATAACATCATTTTTTCCCACACATTCAGTTTAAAAATTTTGTGTATCTTACACAATCTCCACTCTGTCACAAAAGATGGTTGCTGGGTAGATCTGGATGTCCTTGACTGGAGATTTGCCGATGAGATTTGCCCTGACACGCTGACACAGACACTGATTCTCTGATTCATTGGCTAGAGATGAACATAATAAAAACAATCAGAATCAAAATCCTTTTGACTGTAACAAATTGCAGCTCACAGCTAACAAAATTAATTACAATCTATCCATCCATCCATTTTCTAAACCGCTTAGTCCCAAACGGGGTCACGGGGGCTGGATTTACAATCTACGGAAAGGAAATTAAACAAATGCTAGCAAAACCAAAGAACTTATCCATCAACATACAAATCACTTCTGACAGCCACTGTCAATCACTGGTTTCCCTTTAAAATTTGTCAGCAGCTTTAAATGCCTTGGACCTGTGATTGATGGTCACCTCAGTTTTACAAAGAACACAAATTATAGTAGCAAAGATACACAGAAACTATCTGCTGAAGAGATTAAATGATTTTAATGTTGGCAAATGTTGAAAATGGTATATAAGAATCTTATGAAAAATATTAAGTTTTATATCCATGAGGTATGGAAATTTGAATGTTAGGAGTAGACTGACATTGCAGAAAATAGTAAATATGGCTAGTAAAATATCAGGAAAATCGCAGATGCATCCATGTGTGGTGGTTAGCAATAAACCAGATTCCAGAGGTAATATGTAATAGAACAGTATGTAGTTCATATAGATATTATTTTTAATAGTTATGTAAGGGTGAGCTAAGTGTGTACGGAAGCTTGATCTGTTCCTGGCGCAGGCAAGAATATCTTGGGCTGTGTCCCCCTTGATTAACTTATGGGTCAACATCCTGAGTGACTTCCTCCTCTGATAGGGAATGGATATACAGATACTGCAGCTGCAGCTTATGTGAACTGTACGAGTGCTCTGTTCAGGTTTAGAAAAAGGAAATGTGTGCTAGGTCAATGTGACCTAGAAGTTCATGTACTGGACGGCTTAAACAATGCTTGGAAGAAGGTGTGTGAGGGTAGCTGGCATGGGACCGCGTCTTCATGGCTCCGGCCGTGCAGAGCTGTGTGAGTATGAGCAGATAAAAAGCTGGGCTAGAGAGAAGGAGAGAGAGAGAGAATGACCATGCTACCGTGAACAGTAAACCACGCACTTTTGGGGACCCAGCCGGCTGGGGGGAGAACTGACTGACTCGGGACAGCACTTAAATGACCTGACTGACTGGTGCTCTGACAATCTTCTTATGCTTTATCTATTCCATTGCAAGAGGAGAGTCTCTGTTCTCTGATCTCTGTTCTCTGTTCCCTAACTACAAGATTATGTGTTTAAATACTACTCTATTCAGAATAATTGTAATATTAAATGATCCTTTAAATTGGGATGGTTTGTCTGAATTAATTTAGTCGGTATCACACTCTAGCCACGACACATGTGAGAAATATGAATTACATTTAGTAAACAAAGCTCACCAGATTATAAATGATCTTGTGTACCCTTTGCACTCACACTTTGAGCTTTTATACTCAGGGAGATGGTACAAACAAGTAAGAGCCACCACAAATGTGTGTAATAAGTCTTTTCTGCCTGATGCAATCACAATGTTAAGTTCAGAGATATGTACCCCCCACCCCCCATATCCCTGTCACTTTATCAATTACTATTGTCATTATTATCACTCTCATTATATCTGTTGTTAATTTTACTAAATGATTTTCTGTTATGTGTATATGGTGGACTTACTGTATGTATTGCTTGCTCTAGCTGTGAGGTGAAGCTGAAGACATTTCCACAAAGTGGACGTTAAAGTTCCTGACAAACCTAACCTAATAGATTTTTGTCAACTAAACAAACCTCATGTCTTTATATGAGAGTTTAAAATGATGAAATATGGATTAAAAACATACCGTGAGCTTTGGAGATGCAGACCATGACAGCCAGGAGCAGAAACACTTTAATCATGCTGGACATTGTGGGCTTCCTCTGCCAAGATGATGCTGGTGTTTGAAAATATCCTGTTTTTTTATGGCTAAGATGATGGAAATAGGCTAAAGTGAGAAAAGCTAGAATGACCTCAATGAATGCTCTGTGAGGGGTAGAGGCTGACGGTCGCCTTAAATACTGTTTCCCCAGTGGAAAAAGGTCTGATTTCCTTTCTGAGACTTTGCATGTGTGGAGAAAGAACTATGCCAGAGAACATTTGATTAAAAACAACATACTGGAGAGGTTGGGAAACTAGTGGACATTAGCCAGAAGTGAAGGCCGCTCCCATTATGCACATTGTTTTGATTATGATCATGGTGATGCCAGAAGGATGGTGGTCGGTGTTATAAAAGGCAGAGTGCAGACTGAAATGACTTTAGAATTCATGACTTGTTGAAAAGCTGCAAGGGCACTGTACTTTGAGGTCAGGACTGTTTCTGAGCCGCTCCTCCAGGTTTTCAACAAACTGGCGATCTGCTAATGGCAGCAGATTTGGTTCAACACCTATCTCTTCTTTAGCTACAGATATCAATCCCTGGACAGTTGTGAAAATTATTTTCATTTGATCCATTATCGTCTCTTGATTTGTGAGAATATGTCGCAGGAGTGCTAGGGAGAAAAAAGGTTTTGTGGATAAATAATTAAACAACTGATTTTATAAAAATGTATTCAGTCAACAACAGATCGATCACAGCATATGAATACAATAACATGCTCACATATATGAAGACTGATCTGTGGTCTCCTTATCAGTTGATGTTGCTCAGAGGAAACAGTCTTTCTCTGGTGCAGGCTAAGGGATGCACAGTGTTTCTGGTCCAGCTTAGGAGTATGGTGCACTCTGCAAGTAGCATGATTAACATTAGAGTTTTTTTGGTTTTGGATTGCAAGGATGCCCTTCCTTTGTTGGTGTTTTTCCAAATGGAGTAAGTTCTTCAGGAATTAGGAATAAATAAATATTTCTGGTGCATTAGACAGTTCATCTTGTACGCAAAGAAACAGAGCAAAGCAGTCCAGAAATTTTTTGGATTAAATTAATAGCTTATCAAATTCAAATTTTAACAGTAGGGGTTTACCGTGGTTTTCCTGTTGGTAAGACAGCATTCTCCCCAGAATCATTCCCTTGGGGATTGGGGCCAAATGCATGGAGAATCTTTGGTGCACTAGGCAGTTCAATCGGTCTGCAATGATACAGCAAACCAAATATTGTATCAGCATTTTACATACCAATAGCAGAAGATTAAACTCAAACGAACAATTCAAACTTCTTTCTTCTTCCATGGCTTAGCTTTTGGAAAGACATGTGCCACTTCATCTTCATCTTCACCAGGGAAGAGGATGTTCTTTGGTCTAATTAAATACTTGATGTTATTGAAAATGCACATAAATATAGGCATGTAAAAACAAACAGCTTCTGGAAATTTTAGCCTTGCCTCATTGTAATCATCTACAAAATATGTACTTAATGGTAAATGTTTTGTTATACATACAAAAGCTGAAACACAAGTGGATACATTTCAATAATGTGACTGATAGTTTCTTTCCATAGAAATTCTGTATTGCCATTCGTTTGTGATGCCTTATGTCTATTTACACATTCACCAAAGATTAGTCTCAACATGTACCAGAATCCACACAATTGTACTTACTTGCTGTGAATATAACTTGGACCCTATATGGTTTCCAGCCTCATCCAGGTTGTTCTTGGCTTTTTGTGGCCTTAACAACATCCCCTTTGTTTGGTGGACACATACATTCTTTTCCGTTGACCCACTTGGATGGTACCACTTCTACTTCATTAGTTTTCTCAAAAATAACAATGTGATACATTGCTTATATAAAATGTAAGAAGTGTGTCATTTTCATGTTACTGTAATGTGTTATCTATAAAGAACTGGAGAACTTGAGAGCAATATGAGAAGAGACTAAAACACTGTATTTGAAAAGGTACTACAACAAGAGCAAGAGTTTATACACAACATAGTGCAAAGAATGTGCACTCAATGCGTGTCCCCCTGCTCCCAGAAGCGAGCGCGAATAGGGAGTCAAGGTGTGCACTTCGAGCGACACACCTACGAGGCTAAGTAGCTAGCGTGACACTGTTTTATTTTCATTTCATGGACTGTGCTCCTGCAGTTTAATGTTACCTTAGCTACTTGGCCTCATAGTACTAGCACATTGTTAGCTTCAGCCCTTTCTATAACCCGGGAGCTTGACCAATATTGTTTTTACATACATATAAACAGAATTCCAGCATAGAGGCTAAGTACGTCCCACAGACTATTACAACCCAAAATATGAAAAAGCAATAGCTCGCTCACTGCAGGGCTCTGTTAGCAATTGTACATAGCTAGTGATGGTCCTCTGACTAGTGATGGCCCTTTGACAACCGAGGCTCCGACACATGCACTGTAGCTCATAAAGCAATTGCTTTGAACCACTGTGCCGAGGCGTGTTTCGGTCACGTGACTAGTGACGTTTGAATCACTTGAGTGACGTCCGAAGCAGTTGCGTTCATCAGACGTCAGGTGAATCAGCTGATTGGTTCGGTTTGTCATGTGAATCACTTTGGATCCAGTGTGTTCAGAGATAGGA